ATATTTTTTAAACAAATTTATTAATTATTAAAGCTTGGATATGCTCTGGATACTTAGACGTTAGACAGTATCAAAAAAGCCTTTGGACAGTCAAAATATATAACACTTCAAACAGTAGATACATATTGGGGATCTGCAGTTTATTGTATAGATCATTTGCTATAAACAAAAAACGCAATTTGTTCATTATTAATAGAAGAAGTATTAGAATTAGCCCTAGTATCAAAATTTATTTAATGAATAATTGTTTTTGGCAAGATCTTAGGCATCTATATGACTTTTTAAAACCTTTTGTCAAATTTATTCATGAATTAAAAGAAGATGTGCCACTTTTATTTGTAGCTTTTTTTAAGTTACGTCAACTAGAAACAACAATATGTAATAATAATTCTATTTCAACTACAGTAATCACAGAAAGTATAAGGTTAGTAGAGCAATATTGAAATGATTTTTTATATAATCTAGCAACAATAGTAGCATATAAATTAGATCCACGGCATTGCGAAAAAATTTTAGATCCAAACAAATAGGATACATCGAGAGCTTATACGTAAAGATTGGAACCAGGTTTAATAATTCGTGAATTTTGTGATATTTTGGAATATAATCCAATTAAATTTGAATAAATTCCAAAATATCACAAAATTCACGTGATAAACTCGAATTATTAAAACTGGTTCCAAACTTTACTTATACATCTTGCTAGACCAGAAAATAAGAATCAACTTCTAGAAAACTTTCAGAATATGTAGGAAAAACTGGCCAATTACTTATGGAGTTCAATAAAAGAAAACTATATAATTGGTAGAATTTAGTTAAAGCCTGATACTCAGTACTAAGTAATATAGTACTAAAATTACTTTCAATACTAGTATTATCAGCTTCCTTTGAATAAAACTGGTCATCTTTTAATTTTGTTCACTTCAAATTACATAATCGCTTATATAATCCACGTGTAGAAAAAATAGTATATATTTACTGGTATCTTCAAATTTTACATTCTTTAAAGTGGCTACTTTTAGTTAAAGAATTAAGAAATAGAGGCTATTTAATTGAAAACAATACTGTTAATTTGAAATTAAATGAAACCAACTCAGTTGAAGAAAATAATATAGATATTTTTTTATCTGATAGTCCGTCATATATAGATTATATAAATTATACTAGCAAAATTGACAATATGGATATAAATGAAATTATGGAGGATCTAAATAGTATTAACAATATAAGCAATATAGATAATACAGATAGTATAAATGATATGGACAACGATAAGCAAATGGAACAGCACTAATAGAATATATATTAGATAAAAGCAAGATAAGTTATTTATATATTATCAATAATTTGAGTAGACAAGTGATTTTGATGAAATATTTGCACTTATTAATTACTATTATGAAATTAGAGTCGAAAAAGATAAAGAATTCATTTATTATTAAAGATTCTCAAGATAAGAAAAGTTAATTGAATATATATTGTTATAGCAGTATAATCGAAGCTAAAACAAGATAAATTTAAAGCATTTATACATTATCAAAAATCTGCTAAATAATTTTATAAGGTATTTGTTATTATTAAAACTAGAACGTATAATTTTAGAATAAAAAATAAATGTATACATTAAGGTAATATGAGGTAAATATTTATATACATATTTGAATTAAAATTTTTGTACTTCTATTCGATTAATTAAATAGCTAATATCTTAAACAGATACTTTTATATACAGATTATCTAGATAGAGAATTTTAATAGATATTTCAGATTGGGTACTATTATCAAAATAGAACTGGTATTAAAAAGGACAAGTATAGGGCATTAATTCAATATGAAAAATCAACTGAAATAGGAAATTCTAGTACATTATTTCAAGATAGCTTTTATCCAATTCTAATTTCTAGTTCATTGATACATAGATTAAATAAAGATTATAGCTTTCTATTGATCTTAATAATTTTGTTGATTAATTAATCGAATCTTATCCATTTTATTATAATTAATAATAAAAAGCATTTATATAAATAAACGTATTTTATTGTAAAAAATTTTGTATTAGCTTATTAGCTTATTAGCTTATTCAAAAAATATATGTCTAAATTACTATATTGTATAAAAAAAAAAAAGAACTTTTGATTTACAATTTAAATATGTTAATGCTAACAGGATCATGTATATTATCTGACCGGCTTTAATATCTTATAATTGTAACTTACATGGTAGCATGTAACTTATGATATAAGTTACAATATAAGTTATATTGTCAGATAAGTTAACACAATCCTAGCAATAACTAAATAAAAAAAACAGTTCATAGCTAACACTCATGATTATTCTTCTATTTTCATGATTATTTTGACTATATATAGAATGAAAGATATAGTTTCTAAATATGTATTTGGTTCCTCTGGACAATTTATATTCATAGCAAACAATTCATTTAAAGTCAGATGATATATGTGGTGTATATATGATGATACATTTTAGTGATTGACCAATCAAATTTAAAGCTTGCTATGCTAAACTAAGGTCAATTTAAACATTATATTTTTGCTTTTTTCTTCTTTCACATGTGTTTGGAATTCATGTCAAGTTGATTCAAAATAATCAAATTTTGTGCATTCCGATTGGCTATTTTCTTTCTAGGGTTTGTATTATCTGCACAAATAAGTATGTACTACATTAGGTTTTTTATATACTAATTAATCAAATCTATATAAAGTATTATAATAAAAACTAGTAATACAGGTTTTATGCATAGATCGACAAAATCATTAATAGATAATTTACTAGTCATTTGAAGAGCTATGTGATACAGGTTATACAAGATTTATATATAAATTATATATAAAATCTTTAAATAGTAAATGTGGAGATTTTTTAAAGAAATATAAAGAAAACTTTTTTCTTACTAAGTAAAATCACTCTTGGGCTTCTAACTAAAGTTGTAGAGCTTATCAAGACGCATTTAATAGTAGTAAGAATGCTAAAATCGGCCTGGTAGTTCTTGAGAAATCTTTAAAAAAACTTTCACCAACATATAAAATTTCTTTAAAAAAAATCGATTTTTTTTAAAGAAATTTTATATGTTAGCAGAGGGTGTGGTGACTTAGTGAAGTGGTTAAGTTGTCGCACCCCCAAGTGATATATCAGCCAGGTAGAAGG